TCCTCTAAGGCTATTTTCTCGTAAACTATCTTTTCAAGCGGTCGCGATTGGTCGCGGATTCAACTGTGGTTATTTCATTCGCAAAGGTTTGGTAATTTAAACATGCTGTAACTGTCACAAGATGGTCGCTTCACTGCAGGTGATAGTCGTACGGGAACAATCTTCAGTACCATAAAGTTGCGGGAGACTTTGATCTAGAAAAGCTTCAAAGCTGCTAGTTGAAAATTCTGTATTAATAAGTTGTCGATAAATTTAGAGTTCAAGTCTTAAAAGAAAAGATCGATATGTCGAAAGGCCACTCCCCCACCCCATTGGTGGTCTTTAAATTATATCATGAAATTTTCGTATATGGGCCTCTATAAAAATAGTTTATCACCTAATTTGTTGAATACGAAAGGATAGCGACGGATCTGTAACTTAGTATTTTTGCATATGTTGAATATGTATGCATATGAAGCTTAGATAAGCTGTGGTTGCATGATTTAATTACCTTTTGTGGAACCTCTCTGGTCTGTTGTTGTATTCAGCATGAACAAGCTTTTGAGAAAATGAGTTATTGCTTGTAGTCGTTAGAGTTCCCTCTGCATTGCAAGCCGCCTTGAATTTGAATGTCACGAACACTTTTAATAATTGAAGAACTCAGAGGTCGCAGAGATCCTGTTATGTTCCGAATGAAACAATTTGAAATTTTAATGAAGGAAGTCTTAAGGCTCCATTTCGCAATCAACGGATGAGGAGAAAGATTAGGGCACGCGCCAAATTTCAGCATCGAAAAACGTCCAATCACATCTGCAGTGATCTGCATTGAGTTATTGGCAGCATTAAAAACGAAAGAAAGTACTTAAAAAACAGACACTATGCCTCGAGCTCTTTCTTAATTCAATCACTTTTAGTTGTCTAAAATAGTAATTTCTTATCGCCAGGATCACGAAAACGTCTGAAGACACCTGCTAATAGAATAGACGAGTTAATGGATCTATTAACACAAAGCAATTAAACATTTTTAACAATTCCGCTCTTACTCTTCGGATCCATTTTTCTCTCTGGAAATTCACCTTAGGAGCAGAAGAAAGACACAATTAAGGTATCTGAACCTGTCGTCGAAAGCAATTTCGGGTGGCTATTAAGAGGTAAATTCAGTCATGAGATAGAGGTAGAAAGCAAGGGTGGAAAAAAAAAAAAAAGAAAAAAAGACGGGCTGTGTCTAACTTAACCATGGAAGATCTAAAACGGTAAAATAAAATTCTTGAGCAAGAGAAGCTAATATCTATAGCTAGATTTTATCTACCTAGATGACACTTAATTTTTGCCCTTGATACCTACCTCCGTGTTTTATGATACTTATAGGTCCTAATAGCCTGAGCTATAATTGTCAAACCGTAGGCCATATTTCGGTTCACAGCTTAAAACAATTCCGTCACACTACAGAACAATAAGTGTCAAGCCATTCCCCAATTTTTTAGAAGGAACTATGCCCTCGTCACTCGATAGTTTCAGAGATTCACTCGGCTAGCGGCCGGGCAATGTTTCGGCAGAAAAACGAATTATCGAATTCAGAAAAATACGGACGTCGGTATATGTAGGTGGCGAATGAATTTCATTTTGTGGTTATGTCAGATGTTGCAATATTTGGAACACTTCCAAGTTCCCCTTCGGCGTAAAGTAATAGTTTTGATGTTCCCATAGGAGTAAATATTAAAAAACAAAACAAAACACACACACACACGCACACAAAAAAAACAACCAACCAACGGAAAAAACGGAATGAACTCTCTTGTAGTATTTCAGAGAGATAAGACCAGACTTTTGCTAACGAAGTATTTAAGATATGACAAACAAGTACTTTTCCTCGACCGTTGCTCACGAGTGCCGTTTATTGCTCGTGCGCACAAGCTCATAATTAGCAGGGGCATCGAGAGTGACTATTGTACCTTATGCATGAAACAATCCAATTTAAATTTCATATTTATCATTTGGTGTCAAATGTATTTTGAAACCTGTTTATGGTCAAAACAATAACTAAGAAGCAGCGTAAAGAAATTTTACTGAGGATAATTCGAACCGCGCTCTCCCTTTCGCTGTAGATTGAGAATCCCCAGTTAGTGTGTCGTCCTCAGAAACTAGCAGAAGTTTTATTCTTCTCGTATTGCATGGATTTTAATAAATATGAGCATTATAACAGGTGGTATGGAAGCTTAAGAGCAGGTATGATTTGTTTTTAAATTCGAAGGACTTTAATTTAAGGCAATAATTCCTGGAAGTAAACTGTTTTAGTAACACAGTCACTCATACTTGTAACAGGATAGCACTTAATTCTTTGAGAAAAAAAAAATAAAACCGCGTACTTTTTCTAATACCACAATGCCAAATTAATGAATGGCGGTACTCTGATGGCTATTTATTTTTCAAAGTTTTGTGCAATGCCTGCTGTGAGCTTGTTATACATTTTCATCACAAAACTCCGATTTTTAGGTATTGGATTTGTTTACGCCGTAAAATCGATAAATTTTATCGAAAGCGGATAATTGTTTGCGAAAATGTCATGAATAAACGAGGTCTTTCATGACCTTCTGGATTAGGCATACATTCTAGACCTTTCATTCAATATGTTGATTTTAGGTTGTTTCTAGGCAAATTTCTCCAGGAAAGGAAACATTCTTCACTTATATAACAGCTTGACATAGGTGTTCTTTGTGTTCCGCTTTGTATTTGTAAGAAAAGTTTTGAGCTCAAAGCTCCATGCTGTTTGGTAAATTGTATAAATGCTTCATTGTTTGAATAATTAATACTAAGAGGTGATTGTTACTTATTCTCCTGTAGCTCTCTTGGCGCTTTTATGTAGCCAGATAAGCTGTTAATCGCGCGATGAGCGACGTCTGAATACGATTTTATGGTCAATAATGGTTGTCAAACACTTGAATTCTTTGCAGAATTCTATGTAAATTCTATGGAAATGAAGAGATGTCCACAACAAAGCGACAGTGCCTCGAGATGAAGGTCTTGATGTGGTTATGGATCTTCCTTGTTTGCTTGTGCGCCAGCACAAAATTAGAAAAATCCGAATGTCCAAGTAAGTATGTATGCAGGCAAGCAAAGAATTACTCGTCAAAGTAAAAAGCTAATTCAGGTTGTGATCTTGCTTGCCGATGTTTTTCTTTTATTAATAGGGGAATATGGTTATTGTTTCACTTTAGTAATATAGATTGAATGCTTTCACAGGAAAATGCGATGTGCCCCTCGGTGTCGAAAGTGGCCGTATTTCGGATCATCAACTCACGGCGTTTTCACACTACGAGAACGATTATAGGTTTGGAGCCCATCGAGCAAGGCTCAGACTATACTCATGGCCGCCGGGTTATAGAGCTGACAAAACTATCCTTGGTGACACAGAACAATTTCGCTGGATTAGAATCGATTTGGGGGGGGAAAAAATTGTTACTGGAATAGCGACTCAGGGTTATGGGAACGCTTCGGTTTCAGAATGGATAACCAGGTATAAATTAATGTACGCTACCAAGAACGAGATCTTGGAGTTTGTGGACAATGACGGAGAAGTAATGGTAAGTTTTTTTTGCCAGAATATCGAAAGACTTTCGTGTTACAAGAGTTTAGATATAATTTCAGAAAATAAGACAGTCGCGAGCCTTTTTTACAGGAATTTTTGAATACGTCGTTTCCCCACTTTGTTAGAGCCTTGGGACATTACACTTGTTAGAGATAGAGTTACCCCGAGGCTCTAACTAAATTCTTCACGCGAATTCGTCACTTGTAACAAAAAGTATACAGTCAGCTATATCCTGTGGTTACGTTTGTAACTCTCGGCCTTCTTGGTAGTATATCGCCTCTCACTGAAAAGTGAACATCATTATCCATTCTTCAATTGTTTATTTATTTTCAAATCTCTAAGATAATCTATGTATGAATAATATGGAAATTTCTATTGTTATTATAAAGAATAATGCTGCAAACTTTTATAAGGTAACGATCTTGGAAAAAATGTTATCTTGAGGCCTTGTGATTCACATCACTGTACTTTACTCTAGTACCAAATTTCACATGTAGTTTATTGACTGAGCTGTATTTTTTTTTTACTTCGTACTCAGTTGCAGAGAAAGTAAACATGACAACGTTTGTTACGCTTGCCAAATCAAACCCCATAATTCACAGCAATGTTTAGAGTAAATTTTGTTTTAGTCACCCAACAACATTTTACGAAATCATAACAAAAAATACTTTTCCTTTTCCTTTCCTACTTCAAGTTCAGACCTAAAAAAAAATGTTAAGCGAAAAATCCGAAGCAATCTCGATGTGTTTTGATAACATCGCAAACAATGCGGCGCATAAACAACTTCCAGAACGACGTGATTACCAACGTGACGATTCCGCCTCGGTTATTAGCTCCGTCAATCCTGAAAAGCTCTTTTTCTTTCAAATGGGAGATACAGTCCAGACAAATAGGATCCTTATTAATTGCTGGAATAATTAAAAATAAACGCATGAGGTCGTCATCATCTCGCCAAAAATATTTGGATTACTTAAACAATACGTCTGGACACAGTCTGATTCCAATTATAACAAAAAAAACCCTCGTTTTTAAAGGACTTCGAGTATGTATCTTTATCTAAATGTTTACCTGTGGTGTGTGCGGTTTAGTTCGACAAACCACAATGAGGATTAGTTACATATGTTTTGGAGTGTAGATATTTAGATCTGTTATAGCATCGCAATAGGGTACCGTTGACGTTACGAATAGCTAATTCTCAGGGCAAAAGAAACTAATGATAACGAAGCTTTTGTCTTCAGAAAAAGTGCATATTTTTTTCACCAAAATGAATTTAATAAAAATGGGTTGGTACGAAATAGTTCAGTTGTGGTTCCATAGTTGTCTTTTTATAAATTCCTAGCATAAACAACGACCATTTTTTTTGTGCGGTTTTGTGTATTTTTTCAAAGATACACGAGCAGGTTTCTACCACAAGAAGAACACGCGCGCAATATACTGGCTCCTGGTTAGGGTGCCAAATTTGAACGATTCAAACAGACAAACCTAGTCGACGAAACTCGGATCCATCTCAAATGTATCAAGCATAGTTTAAGTATGATTACAGAAATAACTTCGCTCAAAGCTATCGCTCTTTGTAATGTCCAGTTGGCGAGGGCGAAATATCAGAAGCTACATAAACAAAACATTTTTCTTTTTCTGCTCATCCAACTGCAAGACATGCGAGTTTTAAAATACCATTGATTTGCCCTTCGCTCAATTTCTTTTATTACTCGACAGCCCTTGTTTGAATAAACCTTTCGAATTCATGAATCTTTCATTTGTCTGGAAAGCCCGGAATCGATATTGTTATGCTAGGAAGCTGGAAACCAATATCCTTTATTGATCCTTACTTTTAATTAGAAAAATTTAAACAAATCATTAACGAGCTGTTGTATTTCCAAGGAAAGGCCCATCACTCCCTTTTCAAATTTCATTTAGAGAAATAAAAAACCTCACTGCAATCACAGGAAATGGTACACATCGAAGGTAGTTCTGGGTAATAATAGACTAGTCTAGTACATCATCCAATCTGACGAGATCTTTTACATAAATTAGATCTCAAGTGTCCCTTTTAGAGAGACAGATTTAGATAGGCTTTCCTACTAATTTCTCTATAAATCGTAAATAAGAAAACTTATGTGTGTTCGTGTTTTGTTTGGCTGTTTAAATGCCCCAATGATCAGGGTAGAATGATTTTGAATATCATTGATACATAAGTGATTATCATGAGAAACTCTAAATTACAATCTCTTTTTTTTCACAGATATTCAAAGGAAATAATGACAGCAACGGAATAGTAAAACACGACTTAGCAGTTCCCAGGATTACATCGAGTATACTTTTGATACCTCGTAATTGGACGGACAACATTGGACTTAGAATGGAAATTTATGGCTGCGAACCAAGTGAGAAAGTAGTGTAATTTAGTATTATCAACTGAGTTAATAACGTAAATTGGCCACCGTAAAGAGTATAAAATCTGACGTTTCGAGCGTTAGCCCTTCGTCAATCACTCTGACGAAGCTACTTCAAGGTTTGCTGGCATCTAGAAGAAAAATTACCGAGGTTTTCAAACCCGTTATTTGCGATCACCACCAGAATAAACCCTCCTAGTTCCTGTTTGGTTTAATTGTAGCTCTTTGATGGTTTTCTTAACTAGGAAATGATTATTGGAAGTTGTTACAAATTCATGTATAAGAGTCAATTTTGAATAGATATACAGTGACCATAAGGGTTAGAAGTATTCTACGCAGCGCTTTAAGGAAAAAAATAAAATGAAAATAACAAGTTCTAATTTATCTTTCCAATCACATTTGTGATTTCTGCCCCGCTTAAGTCAGTGTTCAAC